ACAGACAGACAGACAGACAGACAGACAGACAGACAGACAGACAGACAGACACACACAGACAGACACACAGACAGACACACAGACAGAGACAGACAGAGACAGACAGACAGACAGACAGACAGACTAACAACTGACTAACTAACTAACTTACTAGCTAGCTACACTAACTAACTAAACTACATAACTAACTAACTAACTAACATAACAACTAACTAACTACATAACACAGACAGACTACTACTAACTAATTTTTTTTCTGATCATCATTATCGGACATGACCATAAGGGCTCCGATCTTCTCCTGAGTAGGAGTCTCCAAGCGTTTTCTGGATAAAATCTCATATTTTCTAAGTGGTACACCCAGAGTATGCAGTCCTTTCAGTAGAAAATCATTTCCCACTAAACTGACACTCTCACAGACAGACACATAGTCGCTCGTATTGCATTGAAGATGTATACATACTGTCCATAGTGGAGCCCTTTTCTGATAGTCGTACTGCCAACCAGTGTGCTCTCTTGTTGCTTTTCACATCAGCATACCTGGAGCAGACAGACAGGACAGGACACAGACAGGACAGACAGACAGACAGGACAGGACACAGACAGGACACAGACAGGACACAGACAGGACAGGACACAGTCAGGACAGGACACAGACAGGACAGGACACAGACAGGGCAGGACACAGACAGGACACAGTCAGGACAGGACACAGACAGGACAGGACACAGACAGGACAGGACACAGACAGGACACAGACAGGACAGGACACAGACAGGACAGGACACAGACAGGACACAGACAGGACAGGACACAGACAGGACAGGACACAGACAGGACACAGACAGGACACAACCAGGACACAGACAGGACAGACAGACATGACAGATAGACAGGACACAGAGAGGACAGACAGACAGGACAGACAGACGGGACACAGACAGGACAGGACAGGACACAGACACGACACACACAGGACAGACAGACATTACAGAGACAGGACAGGACACAGACAGGACAGACAGACAGGACACAGATAGAACAGGACACAGACAGGACAGGACACAGACAGGACAGTACACAGACAGACAGACAGACAGACAGACAGACAGACAGACAGACAGACAGACAGAGAGGACAGGACAGGACAGACAGACAGGACACAGACAGAACATGACACAGACAGGACAGGACAGGACACAGACAGACAGACAGACAGAGAGGACAGGACACAGACAGGACAGGACACAGACAGGACAGGACACAGACAGGACAAACAGACAGAGAGGACATGACAGGACAGGACAGGACAGACAGACAGACAGACAGAAAGGACAGGACAGGACACGACACGACACGACAGACAGACAGACAGACAGACACAGACACAGACAGACAGACAGACACAGACAGATAGATAGACAGACAGACAGACACAGACAGATAGACAGACAGACAGACAGACAGACAGACAGACAGACAGACAGACAGACAGACAGACAGACAGACAGACAGACAGACAGACAGACAGACAGACAGACAGACAGACAGACAGACAGACAGACAGACAGACAGACAGACAGACATGGTTAGTTGCGTATCCTTTACAGGACGTTGCCGACCCAACCCCAACAGCCCCTCGCTGTTGTGTGGTTTTTCTAGGAAAATTTACGTCCAGTATTTTGCCATTGCTTTTGGCCGGTCGGCTTTCTTGATACGACTGTCGAAACCAACGCAATGCGCATAGCACGCAGCTAGGATCGAACACGGCATCCCGACATTACGAAGCGTTCGCATCGACTTAGCCACAGAGCGGACTACATATATATACACACATACACACACAGACAGACATACACACATGTACCTACGTACGTACATAGACACAGACAGACAGACATACACACATATACAGACGTACACACATACACACACATACATACACACATACACAACACACACACATACACAACACATAGACACATACACAACACATAGACACATACACAACACATAGACACATTCACACATTCACACATACACACATACACACATACATTCACACACACATTCACACATACATTCACACATACACACATTCACACATACATTCACACATACACACACACATTCACACATACACACATACACACATACACACATACATACACACATACATACACACATACACACATACACACATACACATATACAGACAGACAGACAGACAGACAGACAGACAGACAGACAGACAGACAGACAGACAGACAGACAGACAGACAGACAGACAGACAGACAGACAGACAGACAGACAGACAGACAGACAGACAGACAGACAGTCAGACAGACAGACAGACATGAATACGAAACCTAATTTTCTATTAGATCTTAATTCTGTTTGCTCTGGAGCCCCAGCTGGATTGGGGGTGGGGGTGTGAGAGCAATAGAATCACTGTACCTTCTCAAGCATGCCATAAAAGACGAAAAATTAAGTGTTTCATTAAAAAAAAAAACATTTGGTTGGCCATAATGAGTAGATATCGCAGCCTACTAAAAATAATAATGCAGTGGGCCAGCTGATTTTTTTAGGCTGAACGTAGAAAAAATAAGAGTTGAGAATATCAGAATGAATTTTGAAGAGCATTATATGACGTCATTGTAATCAAGCACTTTGCCCGGTATAAGTGTTGCATCGGTCCAGTGAAATTGGTGGCAATCACTTTGTGTTGTAAAAGAAATTGAAGGGTGTGGGCAACACAAACGGTGGACACCGGACACTAAAGTATTTTTAGAAATATCCCGGAACTGTGTGGGTTACTGACGTGTGGGGTACTTTATGAATATAATGAGGATCTCCTTCTTAACTTGAGCATGCAGTTAAAAACGAGGCTCGATTCCCCATTCTAAATATAGAAAACCAACAGTAGGAAGTCGGCGAATATGAATAAAAAGGCTGGCGGGAAGCGAGTCTAACAAACAATCTCCGGCCAGTAGAGAAGTAAGAGAAGTGTCAGCCCTGTCCATAGTTAGGCAACGTATTTGAAATAAACGATAACCTGAATATTGTAGCTACAGACTGAAATATATACTCATTGGTTTGGAGACCCGAATTCAAGACTAATTCGTGTGTTCTCATCGCAAAGATTTCTTTTTCAGAACTTGTACACTCATCCTCAGAAGAAACAATTTTAGTGAAAAGAAGATTCTAAAGAACATTTAAAGACACGGTAGTAATTATAAAAGTTATATATATATACACGTTTATTGCTAGTTTATATAAACTAAAAAGCACAACAATGGATCGTGTTTCTTTTTCTGGTTTTGCTGTAATTTTCATTATGGCTGCCTTTGTTTGTCTAGCCAGCTCGAGACCTGACACACGGATAACAAATGTAATACATACAAACTCCTTAGACATCCCACAGTGGCTTCGATCTGTAGTAGGGTCAGCCAAACAATTAGTCGCAAATAAAATTGTTCAAGGCGATTCTTACAATGGTCTTGATTACGTCAATAAGCAAGACAGTACAATCAAAGCTTCTGACGATTCTTTACCAGTTCTAATTCACAAGGAGCACGAAGAATCCAGCATCAAGGTCATCCATTCATCTCTTTCCGATACGGACAAAGTTAACCCTTTTGTGAGATCAAAACGAAGCACCTGTGCAACGCCTGCAAACCTGCCCCAGATGGTGAGAGATTTGAACACACGCCTAACCGCCTCGCAGCTGGTTGGACTCAACCCAGGGGAATCCACACCACAAGCTGCCCCAACCTCTCAGTACAACACATGTCCGAGGAACGTAACCGGTGACTGGTGGCCGAGACCTGAAGTTAACTTGAGGTCAACTTGTCCATGGAAACTTCAGCAAGTCGATCTTGGCGTCAACGCTTTTCCAAGGTAAGAATGAATATTTTTATGAACACTGTAACATTTTGTGCTATGCCCCAATTTATTTTCATTTTACAGTGAACATGTAATCAGACCAATTGAAAAAATGCCCGACATCGTGGTTGGAGTTAATAAGTAGAGATCTAAAGAGTGTTGCACGCGAAAGTATGCAATTTAAATGTTTTAAAAGAGTTAAAGACATGATACAAATTCATCACAACCATCAGATATAAGTTTTCTAAACCTTTTACCACTTTATGAAAAAGAAAAAATCATGAAAATGTTAGCACTACCACACTGATTTAGGGAAAAGGCCATTTCTTCATCTGCTATACCCATTGGAGCATAGGCCGTCATCCAACTCACGCCAGTTCGCTCTAACCTCGACAGAAGAAGAGAACAGAAAAATTATAAACGCTTTTTTATCTAACATTGAATATTGTCAAAACACAAACTGATACATGTTGCTGAAGATAGCCAATGTGGGGTTAAATGCTAATTCTTAATACAGTACGGACAGTTTCCTTTTGCATTTAATCGGTGTGTATGCTGTTGGATTTCCTGGGACTACAGTCTAGTGTCAATTTGTGTGTGTGACAAGTCACAGTGTTAGACATCCTGGGTGGTTTTAATTGCCACAGGAACGGGGTAACTATAGCGTGAGATGTTTGCTGTAAAGATCGAACTGCAGTTTCATGATTGCTTGATTATTAAACAACGATGGAAATATTCAATATACAGGTGTATTTATATAGTTGCAGACAGGTGAAAGCCGTTACCTTTCACGTGTTGCACTTTACCGTATTAATTCTATAAACTAATATGTGAGTTAGAAATTTAACTGCAGTATATACAAACATGAATCATATATTTTGATTGTATCATTCACAGATACGTCAACACTGCTGTATGTCTGTGCAACAACGGCTGCATTGGCTCTCCATCTATGAGATGTATGGAGGTAACCTACGATGTGACCTACTTTAATCGCAAAGGATGTGAGAATGGACTGGCTGTGATGGAACCTAGCAAGTATACGGTCAACATTGGATGCCACTGTGTGGGCGCCTTGCAACAGCCAACTATACCAGACCACAACAGCGAATAGTCAGCTCTCTCTCAGGGACCAATATACGGGTGTAAATGTGGAATAGCACTTTGAATAGAACAGCCAGTATGGTTATAAACATGTTCAAGTGTCTTTCATACTTGCACTTTGATATATTGAAGCTCTAAAGCAACACTGCGTCTAGAACCTGGCAAGTTATGCCACAGTTTTAACTAAATCGTTGACAGTACAAATAATGTTAAGTTTTTTATAAAGGCAATGCGAAGGTAGAGTTTACATGCCTATTTCTAAATAACTGAAATAATTAGAAATTAGCTATTATAAAACTCGCATTATGATACTGTCGACTTCAAAATGTAGATTATATTAATCTATTATTGTATGTACATGTATATACTGGTCTTTATAACAATGTTTTCTCAATGTGTAATATTTTGTCTAAAAATGTGATTACACATTTTCTAGTCTTTTATATACTGTAAGTAAAAGACATATTTTTACTTGCGAGAGTTACATGTGATAATTTGTATATGTTATTTCGATTGTCGTTCGATCATCAAATAGTTCATTTATTTGTATTGTTGCGAAGTTACATAATCAGATCAGTGAATTGTTTTTTTAACTTATGACCTTCTGTTATGTATGTCTGTATTTCTTACCAGTCCATCTTCTGTTCTTTTGTTAAATAAGTGTATATGCCCGTGCTGCGGTGTTTATTTCAGTTCACTTAAGGCCCAGTATATTTTTGTGAGTACGTAAGTCTAGACTTTTTATACGTGTATATATTTTTACAAACATAATGTCATGTGTGAGCATTATAAGAATGTATATTATTTAAGTAATACTTACTATTCACACAGCTTTAAAAATAAACATTTTACATGCACAGACTAATTTGTTTAGACTAATAAAAAAAAAAAAAAAATAAATAAATGCGAGTAAACAAAGATAGCTTTCTTAGTATGTCAAAAAGTTTGCTAAAATAATACAAAAGAAAGCATATTATTATTTTTCACATTAAGTACAAAAATCATTCATACATAGATTGAACTTTTGTGTGTGTGTGTGTTTTTTTTTTTTTTTGGGGGGGGGGGGGGGGGGGGCGGGGGGGTTTAAAATGTTTATTGCCCATGTGGAATTAATTTATAAAATATAATTTCGACTTACGACAAATTCAACTTACGATATGATAGTAGGAACGTAACTCTGTCGCCAGTCAAGGAGACCTTTCTCAAACTGCTGCTGTTGGAATAATTTTATTTATTACAAATATTCAAATGCTATTCTTTTTTTTTTTTTTTTGCGCATAGTTTATAGAATGTTATATTGTGTTTATAATAGTCCTATTATAGGTCGCTGCTGTTTTCTAGGAGCGCAGATGGCAGAGGAGGCAGAAACTCTCACACGATGTAACTGCACAAACTTGCTATTGTTTTGTTTATGAGACACGCTTCTCAGTGCTACATATAATGTCTATCTCTCTGTACCAGTCGAATTTTAACTTCACTGCCTATGACGTCTGTTCTCTGTCCCAGTTACTTGTTAACTTCATTACCTATGACGTCTGTTCTCTGTACCAGTAACATGTTAACTGTACTGCATATGACGTCCATCTCTTGATCCCAATTACTTGTTAACTTCGCTGCCTATGACGTCTACCTCTCTATCCTAGTAACTTGTTAACTTTATTGTCTATGACGTTTATCTCTCTGTACCAGTCGAATCTTAACTTCACTGCCTATGACGTGTGTTCTCTGTACCAGTAACATGTTAACTTTACTGCTTATGAAGTCTAATTCTCTATCCCTGTTACTTGCTAAAATCTCTACCTTCGTTGACTGTTCAGTTTCACACTATACAGTCATACAAGATAATAGCAACAGATAACTTACGCAACGTGGTCTGTTCACTAATGTTTTTGACACAGCACTACACTGCTCAAATTATTTATGTTTTAATAATTTTATTTAATAATGAAATTCCAATGTGATTTTTTGTGTATGCATGTTTTATATAATGTCGATTGTATTTATTAATGAAAACTGTCTCTTTTTATTGTTTTATGATGCCTAATAAACGTGGTAACAAATGAACACTTTATAAAACCATATCAGTTGTTCACTTTACAAGAGTTCCTTTAGTAACTAAGTAATAATATAACGGGACATGAATGATTCAGGCTCTGCTGTCGACTCGTAGAAACAAAATGCCACGGACCGTCTTTTGGGGAGAGGGCACATCGGAAAGGGAATAAGAAAGAAGGAAGGAACGATTGCAGAAAGGATGAGAGCTGAGTGTCTGAGAAGAAACAGACTAAACACAAAGGTTGACAACAACGGACCCCAAATCTCATGCTATAATTGTGGAAGACTTTTCTTAATGCGGGCGGGTCTGGCTAGTCACACTTGCCATCGCCATGGGCTGTAAGTTCCATGCCTTCCCGTAGCGCAATATAACACAACCGTCTGTAAAGACGGAAAGGTGCTAGACAATCACTCATCAATAATATTCTGGGAGCAGTCGTTACACTAAAGTCAGACGCCAACCTCTGACCTGGGGATCTAAGGTTTGAATCTACATCACAGGCATTTTATCACTGATCTTCGCCCAGGTTTAAACAACAGCTACGTAATGATGGCATCGATCATCTAGTATAGACTGTTCTAGAAACATATTTGGATTGGCCTCTGAGAGAATTGCGGGTACCATCTAGTAGTCTACGAAAAAAGGGGGGGGGGAGGGGGGGGGGGAGATAGCAAATCCACTGTCCCATAACAGTATGTAGTAAGAGTCGACAAACTAGGAGCTTAATGAAATCCGAAACGGCGCAGATATCGCAGTCTAGCTGTAAGCCAAACAGAACATGCCAACCACCCTTTTCAGAATAACATCTGGTGAAAGGCATGGACACTGAAGTAAAACTCCAATTGTGTTAAGTTGAGGTTTCCTTTTTACAGTTTTGTTTGGTAGTAAAAACGTTATGTATTCAAGCCCTGATTCACAGATGATGGAAGAATTGATAGGGAACTTGAGGCAAGATGTCAAAAGGCGAAGCCAGTAACTTACCAACTCTCCCCACTGCTAAAACACCCAAGCATCACTATGGCACTAAAACGACAACTGATAAATTGCATGTTTATACCAACCCTCTGCTACCAATGACAAACCTGGTCCCTAACAAGAGCACAGGAGAAAAAGATCACGACGTGCGAAATGAGATGCTTACGTAAGGCTGCCAATGTCACAAGGAGAGACAGAGTTCGAAACGAGAACATTAGAGCAATTGTAGGAACCACACCATGCTTGCAATACATAAAAAAGCAACAAATAGAGTGGTTTGGCCACTTGATGCTAATGCAAACCGACCAACTGCCTCTACGAGCATACAACGAACAGCACTACTACCCTAGAGCAAGAGGCAGACCGAGAGTACGATGGATAGACAATATATCAGAGATCCTGAGGCAACACGGACTAACAACAACACGTGCAACACACCTGGCCCAGGATAGAAAACTGCGAATCCCCACTACGCTGTGAGGCAATTGTGGACAAGACAAGACAAGACAAGACTGAGGGAAAGAATCTATGCTGATATAGAAAATGGGATAAACTAAGTAAAGGACGCGTTAGCACGCCTTCAGGTCGATTGCACATATAGGACTAGACCTATATTTCATAGACCAATCGGCACTTGGTGGGTATTGTAGTCAGCATCACGCTGGCCATCTTCACTTCTCCAGGACTTTACTTAGTACCCGTTTAAGATTGGATCGACCTTTGAACCAAAGTAATTTTTGATGGGGTAAAATATGTACAGTGATCACTTTATAAAGAAAACTTCAAACTTCTGGAACAAGAGATGTCAGACATATGATGAGGTGGTAGCTCAACATATATGTAGACCAGTCGGCAAGTGATGGGTTTATATGACACCCGTAGCCTTTACTTTCAATAATACTATCTGTTACCTATTTAAAATAGATCAGCCATGCACTAAAAATAAAAAAAAAACATTTTTTTTTCATTGATCGTGGAGATTAAAACAATTGACATCCGAAGAGGCAGACAAGGGGAATATCTCAGCACACTCACATGGTAGATTGTAATTTGAACCCAAATACAGTGGTTTTAGATATCCATCAACAAATCAAGTTCCGTCTCCGCAATGAAAGCTGGATGCCACTGATCACACACACACACACAAACACAAACACACACACACACTATGTCGCTTGTCTTGGTAGTACACTCTCAGACGGATTCAAAATTAGTGGCAAGTGAAGTGTGTGAGGCTTCACAGTGAGCTCAAGATGGGAAACCTTTAGGGAGATGAATGGCGCCTTTGCTGTTACAACAAGTAACCTCACAATGGAAACTGGCAGTCACAAGGGCATTAGCAGAGCTTGGTATTCAAGAGTTCACTCACATACGCGTGCATTCCTAGTGATCTAGTCTGGGTTCATAAGGCAAGGATGGACTGCAGCACTGAACCTTTCGCAAATGGCTGGCCTTACCTTTATCTTTGTGTCAGCTCATGGGGGTGTTCAAGGCAATGAACTTGCAGATTATCTTGCAGACACTGCGGTTGCTATGGCTGATCAAATACTGGACAGAAGCGATGTTATCATTGCCATATTCAGCACTTGCCTCGAAGACGAACGTGGTAATTGACTTGACTCGGTATCCCTGTCCAGGTTCATGGACACGGGGGTGGAGGGGGTGGGGTGGGGAGGGGGGGGGGGAGTGCAGTCTGGATCTGTTTTTGAAAGGCAATATAATAGCGGTCAGATTGGCCAGCAGCGGCAGTCACATGGTGCAACCAAATAGTGACTCAACCCACCAAGTTGTTTGTTTGTTTGTTTGTTTTAATATCCAGAAGCCATGAGTTGTTAACCCTTAGGCTCGGTATTATGGATATCGCAACCTTTCGGCCTTGATTCCATTGTAAATACCGTAATTCTGGGAGAAATGTGGCTTTTCTGCCTACCCCCGGGTGTGAACCCGGACCACAAGGAGTTCATCACACGGTCACCGCG